TGCCGGACTGTCCGGGCGAGCTCAGCGGGCCTGCCCTCGGAAGGCGCGGAGGCTGAAGGGAAGGTCCCGGCCCTCACCCCCTCCTCCTGGAAGCACTGCCAGGTACAGGGAGCCAAGGCCCTGGTCCCACAGCAGGAATCTCCCAGAGCGTTTTGAGAATCCAGTAAATTAATCAGACATTTTTTATAAATGTGAGTGAGGTACGTTAACTGACAGGTGGGGAGCTTCTAGCAGATGAACTGAACATTTCCTGGCGTAGAGCTGGAATTCTTCTTTATTGATTTTTCACAGAGAGGAAGAGAGAGGGATAGAGAGTTAGAAACATCGATGAGAGAATCATCGATCAGCTGCCTCTTGCACATCCCCCATCGGGGATGTGCCTGCAACCAAGGTACATGCCCTTGCCCGGAATCGAACCCGGGACCTTTCAGTCCGCAGGCCCACACTCTATCCACTGAGCCACACCGGTCCTGGCTGGAATTCTTTTAAAGCAGGAACATTGCTGGGACCACTGGCCTCTGCAGCCCTGGAAGCTGAGGGGCGTGCGCCACCTAGTGGTGAAGGCGTGCACGGACATGACGCCAGCCTGGCTTCCCAGGACAGGACCAGCCCCAGGAGCATCTCGCCCAGAGAGTCAGGCTGAGCCCTGGGGGGCAAGACATTCGGCTGCCCAGCAGTGAGGGCGGGACAGGCTGGCTACAGGTTACTGGCTGCTGGTTGTCTTCAGACCCCCCAGGCCTGTCGCTGGCTGTGCTGCCTCCTCCTGAGTGCAGTCCTTGCACCAACTTCGCTGACTCTGACTCAGCAGGCACCTCCCTATCCAGGGCCAGTGGCCTCTCCTAACTGGGCAGAGGCCCCAGTCCCGGATCCCCTGGGTCCCCCTGACCTCTCTGGAGCTCCCCCGGGCCCTGCCCCTGCCATGGCCTCAGGTCCTCATTTCCTGGCAGGGAGGGGACATTCCCCGCCTCCCGCCTGCACCCAGGGGCCGGGTCTGCGAAGTGAACTGACCAGTCGTGTCCACGAAGGGTTTGCGATCTGCTGGAGTTTTACATGGAGTCTGGGTGGGGGGACGGGGGGTGGGGGGGTAAGGACTTCAGAGAAAGACCAATTACCCAGCTTGGAGGCTGCTGACCATGCGGACAAAGGTCAGGGTCCCGCTCGTCTCCCTTTGCTGACCAGTGGCGAGTCCCCCCAACACCCCGAGACCCGGCTCGGAGGCCCCGCCCCAGATGGTGCTGCCTGGAGCGGCAGCCACACTTTGGTGAGAGATTCCCGGCGGAACGGACGGAAGCCCACTAGCAAGTGGGTCACATCCGTCTTCCCACCCAGGACAGGCACAGGCTGAGCCAATGCGCCGGGTACCGCCACGGCGTCACGGGGAAACGGGGAGGGCGCAAGCAACTTCTTGTGGTCTGAGGTTTTCGAGTAGAACATGTTTTAAGTGAATAAAGAAGATGGCGTTTTAACGAGCCGGCGAGTTTCGGGTAAGGTGGCGCCGGGCAGACCCTCTCCTGTCTACCTCCCCCCGACTTGTCCACGGGTCTAAGCTGACGGTTTCTGCCGGTCCGCTTCTCACACACGCAGCCTCCCGTGGGCTCATGAGTTCCCGCCCGTGGAGTCTCACCCACAGATCTCTGCGGACCACCCTCCCCGGCCCCAGGCCTCGTCACCGAGGGCCCCTGGAGCCGATGCTCCGAACCGCTCCCCGGGTTCTGTGGGGATGCAGTCCTCCGCTCTCCCTGAGACGCCGGGCTGGACGACAAGTCATTAAGCGTTAACAAGAGACAGGAACACAAAGACGCCAATTCCAGAATCTGAGCGGTTAGAGGGTGAGCAAAAGGAGGCTTCCAGCTGTTTGCCTGGGAAATCATACAGAATCCACTGTCCGCACACTTACAACCGGAAGCCTCCTTCTGCCGACCCTGCTTCATACCGAGGCCCGGCCCCAGCTCTGCGCCTGGACACACTGGGCCTCCCCAGCTCAGCTGTCCGTGCAGACTTCCTCCTGCTGCAACCCGGTAAGTCATCTCAGAGGCGATAACATGCATTATCAAGCTACCAGGGAACTGGCTTCCTTGCTTTCAAAAAAGTGTCCTAACTTCTCCAGAACATTACAAAGTGTCCTAGTCCCACGGGCATTGGCACACCTGATGTTGCAAAGGAAATCCTACGCTGAATCCCGTCTCAGAGGAGGCGTTTCCGCCCGCTGCCTCAGCCGGGCGCACTTTTGGAAGCGTCTTAAGCAACAGGTTTCCCTGAGTTCCCCTTGCGAATCGCCCATTGCGTGTGTGGCTGCAGGAAAGACAGGCCCAGCTCCTTTCTTAACAGCGTTTGCTCAACCACCGAGTTACAAGCTGGGAGTGTCCCTGCCTGGGAGGGCCCGCGGGAGGGGCCCTTCCCCCTCCCCGTCAGGCGGTGGTGCCAGCCCGGTCTCAGCCCAATCTCACCAACCCGATGGTTGTATGAAAAGCAGAAAGACACACTTAATTCAGTGTGTGAGCTCCAGGCAGCAGTGAGGACATGGGGCTCAGGTAACGTCTGCCCCCCACACCCAGCGTGGACCGAGTCGGCGAGAGCCAAGCAGGGCTGGCTTTCCCCAAAGCACACAGGGCTCCCGAAACACCTTCCACTCCCACACGTACGGCCGCACTTTCCCCTCTAGTCCAGGCCGGCTGGAATAATGAGATGCTGGCTTATTTAGTTTGCATCTAAGCTTATCCATTAGAATAGATTTATCTGCACCATTTCCCTTAAATTGCAATCGCGTCCTGGTTTTACAGCAATTTTCTGTATTTTGTGAAATTGTGCTTCCGGTGGCTTATCCTGTATTTGCGCTGAGGCGCTGCACGGGGCCAGAGGGTATGCGCGGCCCCCGGCCGTTTCTCCCGATGCCGTCGGCCCCCCTTGGGGAAAAGTGGGCTCACAGGTCCACGGTCACAGACGAACGCCACGCATATGTACCACCTGCTCACAGACTCCTTTGTGAACGGGGTTCTGCCACCCCGCTTCCGGAAATGAATGTGAAATCTGTATGTGCCTCACGGCTACTTTTCAAAGCTCAGTCTGCAGTCGGATGAAGACTTTGGCTCAGGATTCTGATATGAGGTGATTCATTCCTAGATTATTTAGCATCTGGTCACTGTCCTATGCGCAAGGCTGTTTTCTGAGGGTGGACCGCTGGGCTTTCACTGCCCACCCCTTGCCTCTCGCAAACCTGTTAGTACCGGAACAAACAAGAAGCCACAGCTTACTCACTCAGCTGCATGTTCTTTCTAAAAACATTCTTTCCCTGGGTCTACAAATCAGAGCGCATCTCCATTGGGAAGTCACACGGATGCTGCACGTCGGTGGAGTCCGCGCACCTCGCTCCCTGGCCACAGGCGGCGCACCGGAGCTGCCTGCCTGCCGGTCCTCGCTCAGACCGGCGGGCAGACGTGTGCAGCCAGCCTCGGCACGGACTGGAGCCCACCCCCTCCTCGGGGTGAGCGTCCAGGCACCGCTGGTTTTTAAAGCCGTTTCATAAATCCCGTAAACAGCTCGCCTTCTCCAGGCTCGGGTGTGTAGCGTGTTTTCTCACCTCCGAATGTGTCAGTGAACTCTCTGGTGTGGCGCTGACATCGGGATAGAAACCTCTCCTGGCTGTTAGGACCCCCCACCCCAACCAGGCGCGGCCCCGCCTGCTCTCCACGTCTCACTGAGCGCTCGCAGCACCATCACACTCCTCGGCGTTTTAATAACTTCCAGTGTTTAATTCCACATTTTGAAGCTTTTGGCTCCAGGCTCAGAGGTTACTGACTAGTAGGAAAGGTAGGAAAGATCAGTGAGTAGGCAGTCAACATAGTTTCGATTATAGTGAACAGAAGGAACACAGCCCAACGTCCTGCCCTCACTGCTCTCCGAAGACCGGCTTCCTGAGGCCATCGCCACGACGGAGTCCAGGGCCGTGTCAGGGAAGATGCTGCCGATGAATGCTAACGGGAAACGGAGAGAAGGGAGGGTACAGGAGAGAATGAATGCTAACGGGAAACGGAGAGAAGGGAGGGTACAGGAGAGAATGAATGCTAACGGGAAACGGAGAGAAGGGAGGGTACAGGAGAGAATGAATGCTAACGGGAAAGAGAGAGAAGTGAGGGTACAGGAGAGAATGAATGCTAACGGGAAACGGAGAGAAGGGAGGGTACCGGAGAGAATGAATGCTAACGGGAAACGGAGAGAAGGGAGGGTACAGGAGAGAATGAATGCTAACGGGAAACGGAGAGAAGGGAGGGTACAGGAGAGAATGAATGCTAACGGGAAACGGAGAGAAGGGAGGGTACCGGAGAATGCTGTGGAAACCCCTGGAAGCACTGTTCCCAGCTGTTTGCAGTGCTTTCCCAGAGGGGAGGGCACAGTCCTTTCTTCCACAGCGAACATGTCCATTCATACAGCAGAGCGCGCCCTCAGACACTGCAAACGTGTTTAGATACCAATACCTCGCTGTCACCTAGCGTCATACACACTGTCAGACAACACCTGCCCTAGAAAACCATGCACCTTCAAGCCTACAGTGCATCTGCTAGTGGGCCACACTTTCCCCCTGTGAACGTGTTTTATTAGCAGGTCTTGGGAAGAGAGGACAACAGCAAGAGGTCAAAACCCAAAGTAAAAAAGGGCACTTTCCCTCTTAAACAACAGAGGACACCGTCTCAGAGGTGACCACAGCCCAGCATAAAAGAATCAGGTACATGTAAGTGACACACCCTCGTTTACAAGCAGGACTGGGTTTCAATCTGGGCTCACTACATCCTGAAAAGAACGGTGTTAGAAACAAGACCCTCGCATTGGGTGTGAGCAGGCACACAGCAGGGAGTAACTGGAAGGAAACCAGGCTTCTCGCAGCACAGGCTGTCAGCTGCAACGGCTCCACCTGCGGCTCCGGGTTCAGGACACACACTCCCCAGGTCCGGAGTCAAGGCCGGGAAAGACTGAGCCCCAGGCGCCTCTTTGCCTGGGAGGGCTGCTCACTTCCCACAGCCGAAGGCTCTGTTCCAGTTCTCGTAAAGCTCCAAGTCCGAGGGAGACACACTGGGCCGCACAGCGCTGAACGCCTTCTCGAAGTCCCCGTAAGCGATGGGCGGGACCTGGTCGGCCGTTATGGTGGCGAGGTCGGCGGCCTGTAAGCTGCGGATGGGGCCGAGGGCCGCCTCCCTGCACAGCTGCGTCATGTCGGCACCCGAGAACCCCTCCGAGCGCTGCACCACCAGCTCCAGCTCCTCCTGGCGGAGGCAGCACTGCTCCCGCGACATCAGGCGCCTCACTATCTGCCTCCGGGCGGCCGCCTCGGGGAGCGGGATGTAGAGCCTCTTCACCAGCCTCCTGCGGGCCGCCTCGTCGATCTCCTGAGGCCGGTTGGTCGCTCCCACGACTAGAATGCGATCTTCGGAAGACGTGGTGGCTCCGTCCAGCTGCACCAGGAATTCGGTCTTGATCCGCCGAGAGGACTCGTGCTCGCCGTCCGCCCGCTGGGACAACAGGGAGTCGATCTCGTCAATGAAGATCACGGCGGGCTGCTGGCACCGCGCCACGGCGAACAGCGCGCGGACCATCTTCTCGCCCTCACCCACCCACTTGGAGGTCAGGGAGGAGGCGGAGATGCTGAAGAAGGTGGCCCCGGACTGGCTGGCGATGCACTTGCCGATGAGGGTTTTCCCGGTCCCAGGGGGCCCGAAGAGCAGGATCCCCCTGGGCGGGCCCCGCAGGCCCGTGAAGATGTCGGGCCTCAGCATGGGCCACACGACGATCTCCTTGATGGTGGCCTTGGCGAACTCCACCCCCGCGATGTCGTCCCAGGTCACCGGTGGCCCGTGGTCCATGATCTCACTCATGATCAGCTCGATCATCTTGGGCTCCAAGCTCTTCAGACGCTCGTCCACGGGGGGCGCTGGCTCTGCGGGCCCGGCACTGTCGGGCTTGTACTGCACCCCCCCGTTCGCGTCTCCCCCCTCTGGCTTAGGTACGGGAGGGACAAACTTCCCAAAAATCCCTCGGGACCGACTGGCTCCCAGGCTCTTCTTGACACCGCCACAGGAGGACGCCGCCGCCCGCGCAGCAGGGTGGTGCTTTTTCTGCTGCTCCACCCACAGCTGCTCCTTTGCGGTTTTGAAGCCCCGAAGGCCACCTTCCTCCCGGGGGCCGCTGCCCTCTGTCTTCCTGAGGGCCCTGCTCAGGGCCGGGGCAGAAAGGGCTTCAGCAGGGCCAGCGCCATAGAGCGCGCTCCTGTCCCAGGGGCCGTCACTGCCGGGAGGGGCGAGAGGCTGCTGGGCCAAGAACAGACCCAGACCCGGGCTGGCTTTGGGAGCGCTGCCGTTTTCCTTCCTGACATTTCCAAATAGCGGGGTGGCCAAGTCGCCAAAGGGTGCGGAGACCGTGGCACACGTCTTGGAGGTGTTAATCGCCACAGGGGGCTGGGCACTCAGAGGGCCCGAGGGACGGCTCTCTGGGACGCCCGGGGCCCAGCCTGGCCCGTGAGCTGGAGTAGCCAATGGGGCGCTCTCCCCAGAACCACCACCAGCGCTAACAGTGGGAGGCTTGGGGGCCACGGCCAGGCCGGGGATCGCCGCCGAAGGGTCAGCGGCGCCCAGCAGGGAGCCGCGGAGCTCCTCGCCCGCCCGCATCATCGCCTGCACGCTGCGCATCTGGAAAACACTGCTCACCGACAGGCCCGACTGCCACTGGCCACTGTCCGCCTGCTGGCATCTCGCTAAAGTTAAGACGCTTTCTGCGTAGTTATTCAAGCCGGTTTCAGCGTTGTCAGAATCGACGATGGCCGAGTACTTCTCTGCGTACTTTCTGAACAGCCTGGAGGCGCAGACCGGGGAGAGCTCGGAGCTGGCGCATGCGTACTGGACGCGCAGCACCTGTGCCCGGTAGGCCTCCGCCTTCTGCGCCGCCGGGCACGTGCCGGACGTGACCGCAAAGTAGTTCTTCTGCCACTCGCTCAGGTGCACGGCCCGGGAGCTCGGAGCCTGCATGGCTCAGGTTCTGCAGAGACAGAGTGACAGCGTCAGGACAACGGAAAGACGGCATAGGTGACTTTAACCCCGCTCATCTGAAAGGCAGTATACGGGACCTTTCACTTATAAGGACAGGCCATGTGCAAGGGAGTAATAGTTACTCATACACTTCAAGCATTTAGGACAAAAGACCTGATTAGTAAAGCCGTTATGGGTTGGACTGTCGTAGTGATAACTTCCCACACAAATGGGGAAAGCATTCCTAAGGAAAGGACTTAGCATTAATCAGCAGACGGGCACCATGGAGGAGCATGAACTAGAGACAAACGGAACAAACCGAGCCGAGCCTGGGGTTGAAGTCTGGTCTCCAAGGAAAACACAGGAATGAGCTCAAGCAAGCCTCTGTCACTGCCGAGTCCTGGGCCTCACCTGTGAAGAGAAAGACATCGCTGAGTCAGGTCACACGAGAATATAAAAATGCCGACACTGCGCCAGCCCTTCAGCACCTGCAGGCACCGAGGCCGAGACGTGAAGGAGCTCCGGAACGGAACCGCATGAGCGCCAGCTCGCTAGGGCTCACTCCAGGAGCGCGCAGGCCGGTCCTGTGCATGGGCCCGGGGACTGTGCATGGGCCCTTGGGGCAACCGCCAAAGGGCAGAGCAGTGCAGAATAGAACAGCTGCTTGCTGCGTGTTCCTGAGGGTGTTTCCCTGTTCCTGAGGGTGTATCCATGTTCCTGAGGGTGTATCTGGGAAGGAGCACTTCACACAGAGGCCCCAGGCTCTCACCATCCCGCGATCTCACCTCAAGTATTAAAAAGGGAAGCCTTCGTGACACAGGAGCCATAAGAAGCGACACAATCTGCTGTAAAGTGCTTGTATTTCAGATTTCTTCCCTCTAGGTGTCCTTATAAGCCTCTGTGCATCGAGGTGAAACTATTTTAATACAACTACAGACTGCAGCCTGTGGCCACATGTGGGAACTTACCTGCCAGCCCGTAGGAAGAGGTATAAAAAGCTGTTACGTTTCCTAACAGCACTGCATAAAGGAAACACCGAGAACTGGCGTGCTTTAAAGTTTACCGCCGAGTTACCTGTGACACACGTCGTGTATCTCCCATGACACCTTACAAAGAACCCGTTGCCCTGCAGGTAGGTGTTCATGAGTCCTCGCTAAAAGCCTTCAACTCAGCCCCGGCTGGTGTGGCTCAGTGAGGGCTGAGTCCGGCTCCGGCCAAGGGCACGCACCTGGGCTACAAGTCCGTTCCCGCCCCAGGTCCCCAGCCCAGGGCAGGGTGGGAGCCGGAGGCAACCCAGGGATCTCTCTCACATCCATGTCTCTCTCTCTCTCTCTACCTCCCACCTTCCACTCTCTCTAAAAATCAACGGGAAAACACATCCGCTGGTGAGGATTAAAAATAAAAATAAACTGAAGGCTCAAGGAGATTCTAATTTGCTTAAAGCTGTAAAGCCAATGAAGAGTCAAAACTAGACCCGACATGTCCGGACACCCCTCGTTCCCCGCACCGTTTTAACGTGTCAACCTCTGTGCGCCCGGGCGAGGGAGGGCGAGGGAGCGGTCCGCCGGGCTCCTCGGGACACCCTCCCAGCCGGCCTCCTGCGCCTCCTCGGCACCCGCACCCCCTCCGAGGAGCCCAGCGGCTCGCTGACGGCCTGTCCCCGCGGCCACCGGCTTCCGCGCCCCCGTCCCGGCGCCCAGACCCGGCGACGCCGCCCCGCACGGGCTTCCATTGCGGTGAGGACGAGCTGCCGCCCAGGCCGCCCGGCCGGCAGTCTCCGGCCTGCGAGCTGCACGGGCGGCGCGGCAGCCCCGCAGCCTTCAGGCCCAGCACCGGCGGCGGCCGGCCTCCGGGTCCCCGCGCGCCCCCTGCCGGCGGGGCTTCCCCTCCGAGAACTCAGATCGGCGCCCACCCGGAGGCTCCGGGCCCAGCCCCCCTCACAGGTCCCGCGGCTCGGTCCTGGGCGGGAGGCAGGAGTCTGCCCCGGCTCCGCCGCAGACACGCCGGCCCCCGCCCCGCCGGAGCGGGAGTCACCTGAGAGCACGGAGGGCACGCCCCCCGCGAGGACCGCTCCCGGCCGCCGGGGCGCCCTCACCCGCCGCCGCCCCGGAGGGTCTGCGGCCCGGTAGGCCGGCCCGCGCCTGTCGCTCCCGCCGGCCGGCCCCTCCGCTCCGCGCCGCCCGGGCCCCACACCAGCAGCTTCCGAAAAGCGCGCGGACCGACGTGCGCCTGCGCGCTGCGGACCCGCTCGGCCCTGGCCGTGCGTGCGCATGTGCCGGGCGCGCAGCTGAGCGTCAGGGCGGGGCTTAACATAGGGGGCGGGGCCACGCGTCGGGGGCGGGGTCGGAGGCAGGGCTGAGCGTCGGGGGGCGGGACTTGTCCGCAAGGCGGGGCTGGGCGTCGGGGGCGGGACTGGTGGGCGGGGCGGGGTTGGGCGTCGGGGGCGGGACTTGTTTGTGGGGGTGGGGTTTAGCGTCGGGGGGTGGGACTTGTCCGTGGGACGAAGCTGAGCGTCGGGGGAGCGGGGCTGAACGTAGGGGGCGGGGCCACGCGTCGGTGGCGGGTCGGAGGCAGGGCTGAGCGTCGGGAGCGGGACTTGTCCGCGGGGCGGGGCTGTGCGTCGGAGGCAGGGCTGAGCGTCGGGAGCGGGGCTTGTCCGCGGGGCGGGGCTGAGGGGCGGGGCTGTGCGTCGGGGCGGGGCTTGTCCGCGGGGCGGGGCTGAGGGGCGGGGCTGTGCGTCGGGGGCGGGGCTGGCCCGGCCGGCACACGTGGGCGCAGGAGGCTGTCTGGTTAAAGGGGAAGCGCGGGCTGTGCAGCGGGCGGGGTTACTAGGACAAACTCTGCGTTTCCCTGCCGAGGTGCTTCATCCTTCAAGTCCTTCGCAGTGAAGACGCGCAGGCGGCGAGGGGGCTGCATTCAGAGGGTCCCCAGGATGCGCTCCCGGTCTCCCCTGCCCCAGGGGCCCTGGACGATGGCCCAGTGGCTCCGGAGGCCGGGCACGCAGGGGGTAGGTATAGGCTGAGACTGAGACTTAAGTCCAGGGCGAGCACAGCCCCTGTGCGATGGAAGGGGATTGTTGTGAGCCCAGCAGCCCGAGCCGTCCCCGCCCGCACACCCCTCCCAGCCTGCTCCCGAGGGACCTGCCCGGAGCTGAGAGGCCACTGGCCACCGTGGGCCTTGGCTTCAGAGACAGAGCCCCGTCAGGTTAGCGCAGTGGATGGCGTTTCAGACCCAGTAACAGAACAGCCGCTCCCAGCCGTGGTGGCACCTCAGAGGTCTGGAGTGGCCTTGGGGTCTGGCACCCGACCTCGGAGATCATGCAGGCTGTCTTTCCGTCTTCCATTCTGCCTTCTTCTCCCGGTGGGTTTCCCCTCTTCCCCCCAGGCCTGGCCTCCTGGCCCCAGGAGGGCCCACACACCAAGGCCAGCCTACACACTTACAGCAGGAGGGGGCACACGGGGACCTTTTCCCGGAAATTCTCTCTCGGAAAAAGGAGGAAGCCACTTCCTGGGGAGCCAGGAGCCTTCCTCTCCCTGTCCGGGCTCAGTGGGCCTGGGGTCTCCCTTCCTGGGAGAGGGACTGCCTGGAGGGGGGTGGAGAAATGACTGTTGAGCAGCAACTAACGCCGTGACGGCCACGTGACCGTAAAAGCCACCCTGTTCGTGGTGGGCCTACTCTGTGCTCCTCGTCCTGCTGTCTATGCATTTGAGAGCTGGAGTTGTCTCCCAGTAAGCCTTGTATGTTGTTTCGGCATCGAAAACCACGCCTGACATGTATGACATGTGTGACACGCTCCATAAACATAGTTGAATGAATGAATGCTGTTTACAAATATCCAAGGATGCCGCACCTCTGGCCACTCTGAAGGGTACGTCCATAGTATCACCGTCAGCGGGCACAGCGCACGGCAGGAAGCTCACCAGACACAGCATTGCTCTCCCGATAGTTTATTGGCCACAGGACGGAGACAGTGAGGCCACAGGACGGAGACAGTGAGGCCACAGGACGGAGCGCGGTGAGGCCACAGGTGTGACTCCAGCCCGTCACCACGGCCTGCCCAGGAGAGGGCCCGGGAGGCCCTCCCCACCATGGACAGCCCCAAGAGCAGGAAGCACTATGATTGCCTAATTAACAAAGCCACAGCCAAACAACGCTCAGCGCTACAAGCCTGGGATTGCTTTTCACGTGGAAATAATGTCTCTCCACCGACAAGAGCCTGGGGAGACGGGAGGCGGCGGCGGGCAGCTGGGAGGAAGGCGTGCGAAGTGTGCAAAGCCGAGGGCTCGCATCCACGGAGCGGGTGGTGTTTATCTCCCTCCCTCCGGCTTTCAGATACACATCTGTTCAGCTTGCATCTCTGCGGGGGAAATGGCGGGAACATATGGCTGCGTTAACACACACACAAGCCAAAACCGGTGTGGCTCAGTGGATAGAGAGTCAGTCTGCGGACTGAAGGGACCCAGGTTCAATTCTGGTCAAGGACATGTGCCTTGGTTGCGGGCACATCCCCGGTGGGGAGTGTGCAAGAGGCAGCTGATCGATGTTTCTAACTCTCTATCCCTCTCCCTTCCTCTCTGTAAAAAATCAATAAGTTATATTAAAACACACACACACACACACACACACACACACACACGAAAGAATCAGAATGTTGTACACGTCGCACAGCACAGAGAAGGATGTGTGAGCCTGTGACCTGGGTGGGAGGCGGTCACGTTGTTCGAGGTCAGAAGGCTGTCCCGCGCCTCCCTCCTGCCCCCCCACCCTGGACACAGCTCCGCGCCCTTCCTCTCGCAACCCTGACCCCAGCTTGACAGGGCGGCCTCCGCGACGCTCAGGTGCAGCCAGGGGTTCAGCTCTCCATCCCTCCACCCTGAGTCTGTCCCCGGGGGTGTGGCGTTTCCTCATTGCTTTGGATAGTTGTGAAGGCAGGGTTCCTTTTTGAGATTGTGCCGTCAGCTGTTGCAGTGTGTGCATTGTGGGGCACCCTCTGTGGGTCCCCGCAGCACACACGATGTGCAGTGTTGTGATACTGTACGCTAGTGTAACAGGATAGCGCGTGGCGTCCATGGGAGGTACAGCACCCTGAGCGCAGTGGAGCGCAGCTGTTAAAGCGTGGGCATCCTGGGGGCCGCCCCAGGGCGTGGTAGGAAGTCCCCTCAGTGAACGGGGAGAATTCGGGGGGTGGGGTGTTTCAGACAAACACCATGGGCAGCGTTCACGTGTGGAGTGAGTGAGCCTGCCTACGTCTCTCAACAGCCACCACCGCATCGGGCTCCCCCCGGCTCTGCCGGCAGGACGGGGTCGGCGCTCACCTGGCCTCCGGCCGGGCGGCCAGCAGCGCCGTGGCCAGCGCCTGGATGTGGGCCCAGGCCCGCTGCACGTGCGCGGACTCGGCGGCGCGGGAGCAGATGGCGAAGCGCAGCACAAAGCGGTCGCGCAGGCGGCAGGGCACCAGGTGGATCTCCCGGGCGCCGTTGATGTGGTCCAGCAGCTCCTCGTTCAGCTTGTTGGGACCCTGGGCCGAGGGAGGGGCCTCAGCGAGGGCCGGACCCCTGTCCTCACGGACAGCCAGCCAGCCCGGGCACGGCCAGGCAGAGGACGGGGCTGAGGACGGGCCCGGCGTGGAACGTGCCACACGTCAGGGCTGCCCTTTCGTGGCCCGCCAGCCGGCGTGGCACAGGGCTGAGCTCAGCCTGGGAACCAGGAGGTCAGGGTTCGATTCCCCGTCAGGGCACAGGCCCGGGTTGTGGGCTCCACCCCCAGTGTGGGCGGTGCAGGAGGCAGGCGGTCCATGGTTCTCTCTCATCATTGGGGTTTCTCCACCTCTCCTCCCCCCCCACCTCTCTCTCTCTCTCTCTCTCTCTCTCTCTCTCTCTCGTCAATAAAAATATTTAAAAACAAAAAAAGAGAACAGATGGACGTGGACATACCTTCAGCCGGAAGCAGACCAGCCCCAGGGTGACTTCCGCGCAGATTTCGAAGCGAGGGTCTCGCTGCACCGCGGCCTCGAATTCGTGGGCCAGCCGCACGTGCTGGAGGGGAGGGGGCGTCAGAGCCCGGCCCAGCCCCCAGCCCACCCCGCCGCACCCACACGCCATCTCTTCAGTGTCTGTCACCCCCTCTCTCACCCCGCCCCCCACACAGAGGGCGCCCTGGTGTTACCACGGGAGAGGGTAAACCCGCCCACCCCTTTCTCCTGCGTCTGACCCACCAGAACGCTGCAAAGAGGACTGAGAATTCTAGAAAGAAGGGGTGGCTGAGCAAGCGCCCAGAGCAGGCTGTGCCCTCAGCCCATTCTGCAGATGTGGAGACTGAGGCTGAGCTCTGCCGTGGGGCCCGGGCCGCAGCTCCGGGCCTGCAGAGGCTGCGGCTGTGTGTGATGCCACACGCTCGCCGCCTCCACGGAGGGCTCCTTCAGCTCCTCAGTGAGGAACGCTTGCGACTGCCCATGGGTGCGGAGGCAGGAGCTGGCCCAGGCGGGACTGAGCTGAGAAGGTGGTCTCGGTGCGTGTCTTTCTGGTCTAAACTCAGGCAGCCAGCCTGGTGCCGGTGCTGGGCGCCGAGGGGCTGGGGCCTCGGAGCAGCATTTCTGCTTAAAGTGTGGGTGGGGCTGAGCCCCACGTAAAGGCGCAGTTCCCAGTCACATGGAAATGTGGCACCACCAGAGGGCGCCAGAGACTGAGCCTGCAGGGCCTGGAAGGCTCTGGAAGCACTCAGTGGGGGGCAGGCTGGCGGAGCCCTCCTCTCCTCGCGGCACCTCAGAGGAGGCTGAGTGTCTAACGCGAGGCAGCAGGTCCGCCCAAGAGGCCGGGCTGCAGCTGGACCGCGTGGAGACGTAACCCAGCACTCCGCTGCTCCCTCCGAGGTGCTGAGCCTCATGGCGTCCGAGAGCAGCTCTGACCCTCAGCCCCACATGCTGCCCGCGGGGCCAATGCGGCTCTCGCAGGGACGCCGGCCTGGGCCCTGTCTCAGGACGGCCGGGGACACCCTGTCCAGCCACAGGGCTGAGTCCGGCCCCGGGACGTGGAGTGGACGGAGGCCACGTCACCGGCTCTGGAGCCAGAAGCTGCAGGCGCGCCCCTGCCATGGACGCCAAGGACGCCGTGGCCAGGAAGGACACCGGGGTGGGAGGGACCTTGTGCGAGCGGCAGGCCTTTTGCAGCAGATAACTGGGCGGGGTGGGGGGGGGGGCCATGATGGCCTCCGTTTTCTCAATTGTTAATAAAAAAGCAGGCGACGGGCGTGGCTCCGTGGCTGAGCATCAGCCCGTGAGCCCGAGCTCAGGGTTCATTCCCGCCAGGGCACAGGCTTTGGCTGCGGGCGTGCAGCAGGCAGCCGCCCCGTGACTCCACCAGCGGCGTCTCCCCCTCCCTCGCTCTGGAACCAATGAGATAAAATCACAATAAAGAAACCCACCAAGCGCAGCGGGAGCTCACCTTGCGGATGTGGGCCTGCAGCCCACTGACCCCGTACATCCGGAACACAAACCACATCTTCAGCGAGCGGAACCTGCGCCCCAGCGGCAGCTGCCAGTGCTGCGGACAGACAGACAGCCTCAGGGACAGGCAGACAGCCCCAGGGACAGACAGCCTCAGGGACAGACCGCCTCAGAGACAGGCAGCCTCAGGGACAGACAGACAGCCTCAGGGACAGACAGACAGCCCCAGGGACAGACAGCCAGCCTCAGGGACAGACAGCCAGCCTCAGGGACAGACAGGCAGCCCCAGGGACAGACAGGCAGCCTCAGGGACAGACAGGCAGCCTCAGGGACAGACAGCCTCAGGGACAGACCACCTCAGAGACAGACAGGCAGCCTCAGGGACAGACAGGCAGCCTCAGGGACAGACAGCCTCAGGGACAGACCACCTCAGAGACAGACAGGCAGCGTCAGGGACAGACAGACAGCCTCAGGGACAGACAGTCAGCCTCAGGGACAGGCAGCCTCAGGGACAGGCACCCTCAGGGACAGACAGGCAGCCTCAGGGACAGACAGCCTCAGGGACAGACAGACAGCCCCAGGGACAGACAGGCAGCCTCAGGGACAGACCGCCTCAGGGACAGGCAGCCTCAGGGACAGACAGCCTCAGGGACAGACAGACAGCCTCAGGGACAGACAGGCAGCCTCAGGGACAGACAGACAGCCTCAGGGACAGACAGGCAGCCTCAGGGACAGACAGACAGCCTCAGGGACAGACAGGCAGCCTCAGGGACAGACAGGCAGCCTCAGGGACAGACCGCCTCAGGGACAGGCAGCCTCAGGGACAGACAGCCTCAGGGACAGACAGGCAGCCTCAGGGACAGACAGGCAGCCTCAGGGACAGACAGACAGCCTCAGGGACAGACTGTCAGCCTCAGGGACAGGCAGCCTCAGAGACAGACAGGCAGCCTCAGGGACAGACAGCCTCAGGGACAGACAGCCCCAGGGACAGACAGACAGCCTCAAGGACAGACAGGCAGCCCCAGGGACAGACAGACAGCCTCAGGGACAGACAGGCAGCCTCAAGGACAGACAGGCAGCCTCAGTGGCCAGGCCGGGGGCCGCCCACCCCTGGGGATGGTAAGGCCAGGAGAGGAGAGAGGCAGGGGGCGCACACGGGCCGGAGCTGGGAGCCGGGAGCACCAGGAGGGGCAGAAGCCGCTTATAGCTGAAACTGCCCTGCACCAGCCTCGCCCCCGGCCCCGCCCAGACCCCGATCCCGAGGCGGGGGACACGGGACTCGGTCTGTCTGTCTCACCCCCAGCCCAGCCCCTCGCTGGCTCTGCAGCCGTCACCATAAGCCCGGGGAGGAGTGCTGCTGGTCCCTGTGCCTAACGCAGGAGGAAGACAGGGCCGCCCGAGGCCACAGCCTCTGCCCGCTGTGCCCAGCTGCCTGGGGCATTTTGCCTCCCCGTGGACCGCACTCGAACCCGCCTGCAGGCTGTCCTCCCACTCCAAGCAGAGAGACACACTCCACACCCAGACGGCGTCGGGTGCGAGGCTGGGGGGTCCCAGCCCAGGTCCTAGTTCTGCCTCTGATCCGGCCCAGACAGGCAGCCTCAGGGACAGACAGGCAGCCTCAGGGACAGACAGCCTCAGGGACAGACAGACAGCCTCAGGGACAGACAGCCAGCCTCAGGGACAGACAGCCAGCCTCAGGGACAGACAGACAGCCTCAGGGACAGACAGGCAGCCTCAGGGACAGACCGCCTCAGAGACAGGCAGCCTCAGGGACAGACAGACAGCCCCAGGGACAGACAGCCAGCCTCAGGGACAGACAGACAGCCTCAGGGACAGACAGGCAGCCTCAGGGACAGACAGCCTCAGGGACAGGCAGCCTCAGGGACAGGCAGCCTCAGGGACAGACAGGCAGCCTCAGGGACAGACAGGCAGCCTCAGGGACAGACAAACAGCCTCAGGGATAGACAGGCAGCCTCAGGGACAGACAAACAGCCTCAGAGACAGACAAACAGCCTCAGAGACAGGCAGCCTCAGGGACAGACAGACAGCCCCAGGGACAGACAGCCTCAGGGACAGACTGCCTCAGGGACAGGCAGCCTCAGGGACAGACAGGCAGCCTCAGGGACAGACAAACAGCCTCAGGGACAGACAGGCAGTCTCATGGACAGACAAACAGCCTCAGAGACAGACAAACAGCCTCAGAGACAGGCAGCCTCAGGGACAGACAGACAGCCCCAAGGACAGACAGACAGCCTCAGGGACAGACAGGCAGCCTCAGGGACAGACAGACAGCCTCAGGGACAGACAGCCTCAGGGACAGACAGGCAGCCTCAGGGACAGACAGGCAGCCTCAGGGACAGACAGCCTCAAGGATAGACAGCCTCAGGGACAAACAGGCAGCCTCAGGGACAGACAGGCAGCCCCAGGGACAGACAGACAGCCCCAGGGACAGACAGACAGCCTCAAGGACAGACAGGCAGCCCCAGGGACAGACAGACAGTCTCAGGGACAGACAGGCAGCCCCAGGGACAGACAGACAGCCTCAGGGACAGACAGGCAGCCTCAGGGACAGACAGGCAGCCTCAGGGACAGACAGCCTCAGTGGCCAGGCCAGGGCTGCCCACCCCTGGGGATGGTAAGGCCAGGAGAGGAGAGAGGCAGGGGGCGCACACGGGCCGGAGCTGGGAGCCGGGAGCACCGGGAGGGGGGGGGCAGAAGCGCTTAGAGCTGAAACTGCCCTGCCCCAGCCTCGCCCCCGGCCCCGCCCAGACCCCGATCCCGAGGCGGGGGACACGGGACTCGGTCTGTCTGTCTCACCCCCAGCCCAGCCCCTCGCTGGCTCTGCAGCCGTCACCATAAGCCCGGGGAGGAGTGCTGCTGGTCCCTGTGCCTAACGCAGGAGGAAGACAGGGCCGCCCGAGGCCACAGCCTCTGCCCGCTGTGCCCAGCTGCCTGGGGCACTTTGCCTCCCCGTGGACCGCACTCGAACCCGCCTGCAGGCTGTCCTCCCACTCCAAGCAGAGAGACACACTCCACACCCAGACGGCGTCGGGTGCGAGGCTGGGGGGTCCCAGCCCAGGTCCTAGTTCTGCCTCTGATCCGGCCCAGCAGGCTCTTCACCCCCCAGCCTGCCCCCGGGCCAGGTGGCTGCGTGGTGCCCGCTCCGCCCGAGACTGGCCAACTGGCCACGGGGACCCTGCCCGCTCCGGCGGCCCCGCGTCCTGTGTGGACGAGGCTCCACTCACCCGGTAGTCGGTGATGAGCCCTGGGGAGAGAAGAGACGGTCAGACACGGCAGGCATGGCCGCCCCCCGCAGGCGCCGGCCCCACGCCCCCGCGGCCCGGACGGAGCCCCCCGGCTCACCCGAGTCCTGGTGGTTGTGCTGCAGGTACAGGGGGTCCAGCTTGAAGGCTCCGGTCAGGTCCGCGCGCTTCCTCACCCTGCAAACGGAGGGGACAGGCTCAGGGCCGCCAGGGCCCGGCCGCCGTGCCCTCCGCCGGCCCCTCCCGCCCTCCGCATGGCCGCTGGCACAGGGCGGGGATAAGGAAGAATAACTGTCTGGCCCACGTGGCTCAGGGGTGAGTGTCAGCCTGTGAACCAGAGGGTCACAGTCTCATTCCCTGGCAGGGCACACTCCGGGGTGCGGGCTCGGTCCACAGGCGGGGACTGTAGGAGGCAGCCGATCCGTGATTCTCTCTCATAGTTGATGTTTCTCCATCTCTCTCCCTCTCTCTCTCTCTCTCCCTCTTTCCCTCTCTCTCTCTCTCCCTCTCTCCCTCTCTCCCTCTCTCTCCCTCTTTCCCTCTCTCTCCCTCTCTCTCTCTCTCTCTCTCTCTCTCCCCCCCCCCTCCTTTCCTCTCTGAAATCAGTGAAAACATATGTTTATATTTTGAAAAAGACTAACTATCGGGCCTTTGTCCCTGGCACACAGTGCTAATCCCCTGGAGTCTGTGCCATGGCGGCCCTCTCTCAGGATGGTGGCTGCCGTGAACACCGCAGACCAAAGGGGCCCGGGTTCGAGTCTGGACCAGGGCACGTGGCAGGATTGCAGGCTCCTCCCCGGCCCGGGCCCTGGTCAGGGAGCATGCGGGAGGCCACCCGTCGATGTCTCTGTCTCTCCCTCTCTCCTCCACTCTCCCTGAAAACCAGTTGGCAGACACCGTGGGTGAGAATTTAAAATAAACAAACGCATAAATAAAGTATAATATGATTTGGCGCTAACACTGTGGTTTCCAACAGAGGTGAACAGCGAGCGACCTCCTGGCCACTGGCAGGAAACCGGAGCCCTCCGTGGACACCGATGTCCTCCCCCTCTCCGCCCCCAGGGGGCGCCAGGCAACTGCATGGCGTGATCACACCCAGCGTGCTGAATTTCCTGCAGAAATCCTTCCTCACCCGTGGTCTGGGTGTGCCTGTGTCTAAACTCAGGATGCTTAAGCCCACGCGGCCCCCTCCGCCCCGCGAGCACATCCCCACTCCCCGTCCTCCTGCTGGGGCTCATCTACTGTGAGAATGGTCCTGCTGGGTGGGGGACAGGACCACCGTGGGGCCCGCCAGCTCCCCGGGCGGCTGGGGAGCAGCGGGAGCCCACACCCGGGTGAGGCGGCACCAAGGGCATCTCAAGGTCAAGCCTCCGCCAGCCCTGTCAGCCCTCAGCGCGGACAGATGGGGAGGGGCCTGTGCTGCTGTGAGCAAGGCCTCTTGTGCCGTCTTTGTTTTTTATCTGGGGGAGGAAGGGAGAAGGGGAGAGAGAGAAGCATCCTGATGAGAGAGAAGCACGGAGGGGCTGCCTCCTGCACGCCCTCCGAGGGTCCCGCCGGCGGCCGGGCCTGTGCCCTGACCGGGGATCGGGCGGTCAGCCCACGGACTGTCCCCGCACCGCTGCGCACACCGGGTGGGCTGCACCGTGCCCCAGCTCCTCCGCCGTGCCCTGAGCCCCGCCCTCAGCCTGGGATCTCTGGAGACGAGTTTGAAGAGGCGATTGGATTAAATAAGGCCCCTGGCCTGGACCGGCTTGTCTCAGTGGACAGAGCGGCAGGGCCCGTCCTGGGTTGCAGCTCGGTCGGTCCCTGGCCCGGCCGGGGCATGCTCGGGAGGCAGCCCATCGATGTCTCCCTCTCTCATCCACGATTCTCTCTCTCTACCCCACCCCGTCCCTCACACTCCCTCTGAACACGGGTGGGAAGACAGCCTGGGTGAGGAGTGACACGGAATTAAAATGGGTGCGAGCACAGGCCCAGGCCCTGCCCACACGGACCGGAGCCAGACGGCACTGCTTCTAACGGCTCTAAGGAGCCACAGCTGGGGCCCAGGCCGCTCCTGGGGGAGCCCATCCCCAGGGACGGCGCCGCGGGCAGCGCGGCGGCCTGAGCCCCGCGGACGGAGCGCCTGGTCCCTGGCATCTGGACGCAGGTCTGGTGGCACCGGGCAGCGTGGCAGCTGCCAGCCCGGAGCCGCCCGTCTGCCCCGGGGCTGTGAGCCCCACGCAGGTTTGCTGGGGCCGCCCCAGCCCACGCAGCCACAGTGGCCGCCGGGCGCGGGGGCGCGCAGGGGGCGGGGGGAGGGGCGGGGGCCGCAGCGGCGGGCGGGCGGGCGGGACTCACCACATGGCTGAGCAGTCGAAGTTCACCAGCAGCCACTTGTGGGGGTTGAAGTTGAAGGAGTGCGCACACTGCCCGGCGCCCAGGGCGCAGAGAGGAGACGGTGTCACTCGTAGCCACCAGGCAGGGCCGCGCAGGGGAGCGGCGGAGCCGGTGCCCACTGAGCCGGGAGGCCCTGCCCACCGACAGGACGGGGGCGCGGGGCGCGGGGCATGGCGGCCGCCTGACCGGCCAGGCCTTTCCACTCCCGTCCACGCGGCCGTGACCATGCACCCCTCCCAGGCAGCACGGAGCTGACAGGGACCGCCTGGGGCTGGGCGGGGAAGGGGTGCAGGCCCCAGCTGCAGACAGCTGGCCGGGCCTCCCCGCTGTGGGCACCGCCACGGGCTCCGGAGAAAATGGGAGGCCTTAGCCACGGGGGCCTGAGGGGCCCAGCCGGCTCCCCGTCCTCAGGGCTCAGCTCTGTGCTTTCAAACCGTGCACCCCACTCTCCCGCACTGCTGGCCGGGGCGCCCCGAGGCCCGTCCGCGTGCTCCTGGGAGGACGTGGAGCTCGTAGGCCTGCTCGGTTCCAGGACGGCCGGGGAGGCAGGAGGGACGGAGGGGGGAGGGGGCAGGTGAGGGGGGACGGGGGATGGAGGGGGGGCCGTGGTCCGGGCGGCCGCTCGGGGCACAGCTTCATTTCCTCCCGGCCTCCCTCCATAAAACCCGCGGAGAAAAGGCAGGAAATGACAAGGGCCGTTTGCTGATCAAAGGCGGCGGCCGGCCGGCCGGGGGCGCCTGCCAGCACATTATTAGCTCTGCTCGCTGGCGGCCTGGCTAACGGCCTCCTCCCGCTCCCACCGATGGTGCCTTATCTCCCGCGGGCCCAGACAGGATATTGCAGCCTTATCTGAGCAGGAGCGGAGGCCGCGGCAGGGGGTGGGGGAGGCAGGCCCCGCGGCCGGCGAGATCCTGTCTGCGCTGATAGAACCCAGCTGGTGGCCGCCGGCGAGGGGGAGACGGGAGGCCCCGTGAAAGGTGACACCCCGAGTTCACGGGGCAGAGGAGGGAGTCGCAGGAAGAGGCCTGAAACCCTAAACCTGGTGGTGAGACAGGACCAGGCCCCGGGGGTGGGGGAGGGAGAGACGGGGGGCAGCCAGACCCCCTTCCTCCTGCCCGCTGGCGCGGGGGGAAGCCAGGCCTGGGAGGGTGGGTGCCGCCCACCAGTGAGGTGTTTGCTTCTTCCCGTCCCAGCCCCCAGCCCCCCAAAAAGCCAGCACCAGCAGGGACCCGCTGAGCAGGGGGGGGGGTCCGCACCCCGTAGCCACAGGCACTCGGTGCCCGTGTCCGCCCAGGGACTGGCCTCGGCCCTCGCCATATGCAGTGGCCCACGCACCGTCACTGAGGCAGGGAGTGGGGCGGGGCTCGGAGGGACGTGGTGGAAGGGAACCCGCGGTCCTGGCCTCGGGGCACGGGCAGGCCACGCCGGAAATTAGAAATGGACGGTGCGGACGTGAGAGCAGCCGGGCTCCGGCCTGGTGAACATCAATCACGGCGTCTGATGCTCCCCCCGCGCTGCCGGCCTGGCAGTCAGCCCGCTGAACCCCCCAACACCCCGCAGGGCCCTCGGGAGGCTGCGGAGGGTGTGGGGTGCGGGGGCAGCGGGTCCGAGCAGCCGCCTCGTGCCCTCACCCCTGCGCCCGTGCAGGCGAGGCCACGGAACCCTGCCTCTGAGCGCAGAGCGGAGGCGGCCCCCCATCGGCTCTCCACACGCGGCCCAGGCCCCCTCCTGACCCTGCAGGAGGCATTCCTGTCCGTGGGCTGCCCTCAGACCCAAAGGGCTCTGGTTCGATTCCCGTCAAGGGCAGGCCCCTCGGCTGCTGGCTCGGTCCCTGGCCCCAATCGGGACACACGCAGGAGGCCACCAGCCGATGTGTCTCTCTCAGCGATGCTTCGCTCTCCTCCTCCTCCTCCCTCCCACTTTCTCCAAAAACCAATGGGAAGATGTCCTCCGTGAGGATTAAAAAAACATAAAATAAAATAAAATAAAGTAGCTCCTCAGCCTGGCTGGTGTGGCTGGTGGTTGAGCGTCGGCCTACGAACCAGGAGGTTGGGGTTCGATTCCCAGTCAGGGCCCGTGCCAGGACTGTGGGCTCCATCGCCAGTGAGGGGCGTGCAGGAGCTGGCCGTTGAGGCTCTCCCTCGCCCTCCTCTCGGGTCAGTAAGAACACACGTGTGACGGGCTCCCTGAGCGCACACCCACCTCCACGCCGTCCAGGAGGGGCCGGAACTCGGGGCAGATGAAGGCGCTGCCTGCGTAGGCCGCGTCCACGTGCAGCCACAGGTCCTCCCGGTTACCTGGAAGCAGGCGGCCTGTGACCCCCGGGTGCCCACGAGGGAGGCGTGGGGCCCACAGGGCTGTGCGTGGGCTTCAGGGGACCGCGTGGGGTCTGGCCACCGGCCTCGTCCAGCCCACAGCCCACCGCGGCCGGCCTTGGACCTCAGAGCCCCGCCCCTGAGGGCAGAAAGCGGGGGCAGGACCTGCATGGTGGCCTGCGGTGCCTGCACAGCCGGGGCTCAGAGCGTGTGCGGGGAGGGAGGGAAGGTGGGCGGGATTGCACCCTGACCCCCGGGCAGACCCTGAGGCTGTGGGGGATCCACGGCAACACAACACAAAGCGCGTGCAGACCCCCGTGCGAGGCCGGTTCGGCCGGCGTCAGCGCTGTTATGTACGGAGACGCGTTTGCGAGGATGGAAGCCACACGATGGCGGGGAGCCTGGCGGTCTGGCCGCCTCCCCCACGCCCCGGGGCGCCCTGCGGGGAGGGTACTCACAGACCGGGCCCACTTCGGAGAGGCGGTCGAAGGAGCAGCAGGGCGTGGTCCCCAGCGTGGCCACCACCTGCACAGAAGCAGACGTCCTTCCAGGCCCCGTGGTCCCTGCCACCCCCTGCCCCGGACCCCGCGCCTGGAGCGGGGGCCCCGCTGGGGAGACGTGGATCTGAGGCACACGGGTCTTTGCTGGAAGCTTCACCACACGGGCCCCCGGGAGGAACACGCCGGCCCCCGGGAGCCAGAAGGAGCTCCAGGCGCACAGGGTCCCCCTCCCCTAACCCTCTCCCCACCCACGCCAGTGCCCGCCTCTGCTCCCACACGTCGCCACCAAGAACACGCGTGTCCTTCCTGCCAGGAGGGAGGGAGCTCAGCTCCTCCACAGCTTGGTGTGTATCTGAGGGTGTGTGTGTGTGTCTGAGGGTGTGTGTGTGTGTCTGCCTACATGTGTGTGTCTGTGTGTGTGTGTGTGTGTGTGTGAGAGAGAGAGAAAGAGAGAGGGTATATGTGTGTGTGTCTAAGGGTGCATGTGTGTCTGTTTCTGTGTGTGTCTAATGGGGCATGTGTGTGTGTATGTCTGCATGTGTGTCTGTGTTTCTGTGTGTGTTTGTGTGTGTGTGTGAGAGAGAGAGAGAGAGAGGATATATGTGTGTGTGTTTAAGGGTGCATTTGTGTGTGTATCTGTGTGTATGCCTGCGGGTGTGTGTGTGTGTGTGTGAACGGTGGCCTTCGCTGAGGGAGATGGGAAAGCCAGGTCAGACCCTGAGGCGGGGGAGGCCTGTGACCGCCCGGCTGGACGCCCAGGGCCCCTCGGATCGGAGGCAGCACACGAAGCCCGGGGGCCGACAGGCCTGGGCTCGGGGCCGCGCCCCTGGGGATGGAGCCGGCGGCGTGGCCCCTGGGCAGGAGGAGGCCCGTGGGCCGGCGTCGGGGGGGCTGGCCTCGGGGACCTGGGCCCGGGGGAGCCTCACCGAGTGGGCCCATGAGTACCCCTCCCCACTGTAAAGGCTCAATGTTATTTGGGCCGGAGAGCCAGTCAGAGGCCCTCGCCGTGGACAGCCAGCCGTCACACCGACGTCCAGGCTGGGGGCCACGTGGGAGCACAGGGCTGTGCCAGGGGCGGGGGAGGGGACGTGGGCAGGAGTCAGGGCCGGGCTTCCTGCCAGAAGGCTCGGGAGCTGCTGAAGAGTGACTAATGCCAGCTGCTCCGTGGCCGCGGGGAGGAGGCTGGCACACACACACACACACACACACACACACACACGGATACACGGACACACACGTAGGGACACATGGACACACAGATACACATGGGCACACAGACACATGGGTGACAGACAGACACACATGGACACACACAGACAAATACACATGGACACACAGAGACACACAGACACATAGACACAGACCCACACACAGACACAGAGAAGCACACACCACACACAGCCCCTTGTTGGCACTGAGGGCTGCACGCAGGGACCCTTCCTGGCTCTGGGAGGGTGTCAGCAGGCCCCCTGATGCCCAAGGACCACAGGCATGGCCGGGAGCGGGCGTGACGGACACGCAGCACTCACACCAGGCACCGGGCAGACGGAGGCTGGCTCTGGGGCCCGGGGCGGAGGTAGTGGGGGTGGGGAGCTCGCAGGCTGAGATGTTCTCACAGCCCCCCAGCCCTGGCCTGGCCTCTGCCTCCCCACGGGGTCTCCTGGCTGCTGCCCGCACTGGGCCCCCTCTCCTCGGCACCTCCCCAGGTGCCACCCTGCACGGCCATGGCCACTGCTCCCTGTCTGCGTCCTCGGGGACCAGACAGGCCACTGAGAGGGCGTTCGGGGACCCCTGACCCACACCCTGCACTGGGGGGGGGCCCTCCCTGAGGCCCCACATCCCGAGAGGACGTGAGGGCCATGGCGCCCCGGACCCCGGTGCCCGGCCGTCTGGGTGCTGCTCAGAGCTGTTCCCTCAGCTGGAGCCCCTGGGGCGGGGCCTCCATTTCACGCCTTCCTCAGAGGAGCTGTGCGGATAACCAAACCTAACATTGTCACTGGTAATAATATGCAAAGGCCGCTTGTAAATTCTCGTTGATTTTCTGTTGTTGGACCTTCCCGCCTAAGAGATGTCTTTGTCTCCGAACCTCAATAAAAGGGAGGGTAAAAGGCCAGAGCACCAAGGTCCTGCCCCTGGAGGCAGGCTCCCGCCCGGCCCCCATTCTCCGGATTAACTCTTTTCTAGCCTCTCTGCACCCCGGGTGCGGCTTCTCCGGAAACCGGACCTGAGTGGCCTGCACCGCGGTCGTGTTAGGTTCCCACAGAGCTGAGATGGCTCCGGTGTGAGAGCGTGTCCCTCAGCACGCCCTGCAGTGATAACCTACGTTCGTCATTCAGGAGTTAAACCGACAGAAAGTGCTGGCTTTTTAAAAACTAAACCCCTCTGCCCGCTCACGGGGCACAGCGTGTGCTTGTCTCCGAGGCCGCGTGCTGAGCGGCAGCCCCGGGCGGCCGGCGGCGCACAGCCTCGGTGCTGGGCCTGTGGTCTCCACATCACAGGCCTCCGTGAGGCTGGGGGCGCGGGGGTAAGGAGACACAGGATGGACTGGGCTGTGGGGGCTTCTCACTGCCCATTCAGGAGGAGAGCCCAGCGCCAGCCGCGCCAGCGTCCCTGCCAGGGGCCCCCCGCCTGCAGCCAGGAGGGAGTGGGGGCGGCGGGAGGGGCCGGGGCCCTGGGAGGGTCTGGGTGTGGAGTCAGCTGCCCTGGTTCTCCGCAGCCACCCTAACTCCCAGCACCTGTTCCGCTCGGGGCTCTGATTACGGCTCAGCACGGCGCTAACCTGATTTCAGCCGAGGCCTAATCACATTTGCGCGGGGGGCGGGGGCCGGCTGGCGCCGGGCGGGCAGCCCCCGGCGGTGGGTCCTGCCGCGAGGACACGTCCCAGCCCCTCGCCCCCGCCCCGCCTGCCCCGGCCTGCCTGCTCGCTCCGATGCCCGCCCCGAGGCTGCCCGCTCTGGCCTGACCTCAGCCGGTGGGAGCGAACCCCAAGAAGCCAGGAAACTGCCCAGTTCGCGCCCCCCAGGAGGGCAGAGCCCCCCCCCCCCTCCCGCTCCCCCGGGTGCCAGCCTGCCCAGGGCGCAGCAGGCCCTCCAAGGCGCTGGGACTGAGGGCGGTGCTGTCACACGTGCGAGTTATACCCACCAGCTGCCGGGTGGACTCGGGCGGCCTGCCCCTCTGGCCACAGGGGCCCTTGGTCACTGGTCTCAGACAGCCGGGCGGGCCGCTCACACCTGCCCCCGGGGGGTTGCTCTGACGTGGGACACGGCCCCCACCCGGCGGCTGTCTCGGCCTGAGCCGCAGTGCCCGTTCCGATGCCGCCCATCCCTGGAGGTCCTGGTGAGACAGCCCGGCAGGGCCTGGGCACCGGCCCCTCTCCGCTCCCCGGGGCCTCTGCAGCCGGCCGGGGCTGAACTTACGAAGAAAGGAACCAGCCCGGCCGCCTTGTCCCGCTGCAGCGCCTCCTGCAGGGCGGACGCTCTCATGGCGAACTTGCCGTCCGAGGGGACGGCTCTGAAGGTGACTCCTCCGATCAGTGCGGCCCTCTCCACGGAGCAGTGGGCCTGCAGGCAGAGCAGCGAGTGAGGCCACGGCCCTGAGCGCCCACTGCCCGGGCTGCCCTCCGCCCGCCCGCCAGAGGGCACAACCTGCCTGCTCCGGCCCGCCCATCCGCTGCCCAGGGCACCCCAACCCTGAGCCCCTCTGCCCTGCACGGCCCTGCTCCCCAGGCGCTGGGCGGGGGTCCCAGCGGAACCAGAAGCCCCTGGTCCTCAGACGGTCCAGGGAGAACCCAGAACCCCCAGATCCTTTTCCGGGGGGCCCTGCCAGCCCCCCTGCGAGAGGCTGCACCGCCCTCGCAGCCACTCGCCCGGCCTCGGGGTGCTGGCCTCGGGGTGCTGGGCGCGGACGGGCACGTTCTCCCCCCCCCCGGGGGGCGGGCGGTGGCCCCACCCCGGGGAGCCGTGCCACCCGCAGGTGTCTCCGCGGGGAGGCGGGGGCGGTGTCTCCGGAGCCAGACCAGGCCGCCAGCTGCGACGCCGCGCCCAGACTCGCGGGCGGCGCCGTCATTTCGGGAGACGCGGATGGATGAGCTGGGACCGAGCGCCCGCAGCTGAGGGCCCGGGTCAGAAAGGCACGGAGATAAGCCTGTCAGCGGCACCCACTCAGCCCCTGGGCCCCACATTCCTGCGGGCGGGGCCCGCCGCTGACCTTTCAACCCAGCCTCCCTGCCAGCTCCTTCTCCCCCCTTCTCTCCCCTTCTCCCCCCCTTCTCTCCCCCTCCTCTCCTCCTTCTCTCCCTCGGCTTGCTCTGCATTTGGGTTTTTTCTTTAACCCTTTCCCTGGCTGGTCGGCGGAGGAGGGCTGGTGTGCAGATCCTCTGGCGGCGCCTGGGTCCTTGGGCCTCTGGTCCGGGGAGAGGGACCCGGGCACCAGCTGTGGTTCCCCGGGAGGCGGGAAGGCCCGAGGAGGCGCCCCACGTGCCAGAGAGCGCGGCTCCGGGGGGCCTTGGCGGGTCCCTGGCACGTGGTGCCCAGTGGGGAGCGGGGCAGGGCAGCCGGTCCACGGTTCTCTCCTCGTGGACGTTCCTTTCTCCCCCCTCCCTTCCTCTCTGAGACCAACAAAAGTGCGCTACAGGCTAAGGACGAAGTCAGTGTGTGGCGAGGAGCCTGGGCTCTGAGTCCACGTCCGAGCCCGTGTGCCGGGCCGGGCCTGCGGAGGGCGCCAGGCGGGCGGCCCGGAGCTTCCCCGTCGGCGGGGTGGACGGCGCGCCCCGCAGCCCGTGCGGCTCCTCGGCACGGCGTGCCCGGCCCGGGGGCGGGTCTGCAGTGCCCGGGAGGTGCCGGTCTGTCTGGTGTGGGCGGGCCACGAAGTGAGAGGAAACGCACGGCCCCCGGCGGCTGCTCGCTCACCTGGTCGGAGGCGTAGGCCACCAGCTTCTCCATGACGGCGGCCTCGGTGAGCCCCGGGCGGGCAGCCTGCAGGCGGCGGGTGGCCCTGCTCCGCGCGGCCAGCAGCGCCATCAGCGTGGCCTCGCTGGCGCTCCCCTGGGTCAGGGCAGAGAAGGGACCACTTAGGGCGCCGCAGAGGAGCCGGCCCAGACCTAGGGGGCGCTCCTCCATCCCGGGGTTCACTCCGGCCTGAGAGCTGGGAGGCCAGGGTCCGGCACAGGCCCGGGCTGTGGGCTCCGTCCCCGTGTGGGCGTGCAGGAGGCAGCTGGTCCATGATCCGCTCTCATCATGGACGTTTCTCTCCCTCTCCCTTCCTCTCTGACATCAATAAAAATTCATTTTAAAAAGTTGATGAGGACAGGGGGTGGGCTGGGCTGCCACGTGGGCCGGGCCCCGAGGAGTCCCTCAGCCCGGCACAGCCCTGAGCCACGCACGTGGGTCCCTGTGGTCACGGCCAGAGGGCCCCGCCCGGTGGGCCCTGTCCCCCACCGGGCGTGGCGGGAATGGGGCCCAGAGGTGCCGGTGGGGCCCGGCCTGGCACCTGGGGGCGGATCTGGCTGACGGGACCGCGGTAAGGCGCTGGCACAGGGATTAGCGGATCATCCGCCCCCCCCCGCCCGCCGCCTCCCGGCCCTGAGCGAGAACCATCTGCGTCCGTGCGAGGCGCGTGAGGGAGGAGGGGCCGAGAGGGAGCCAGCGGCTCTGAGACGGGGGAGGGGAGTGGCCCAGGAGGGGAACCTTCTAGAAACCAGAGACGTCCAGGGACCACTCTCCGGGCACGAGCTGGACCCCGGCCCACAGCGCCATGCAGTCGAGGGGGGACGTCTGGGTGGGCAGGGGGGGGCGGGGAGGGGGGACGTCTGGGTGGGCAGGGGGGACGGGGAGGGGGGACATCTGGGTGGGCAGGGGGGGCAGGGAGGGGCGGGGAGGGGGGATGTCTGGGTGGGCAGGGGGCACGGGGAGGGGGGACGTCTGGGTGGGCAGCGGGGACGGGGAGGGGGGCGTCTGGGTGGGCAGGGGGGACGGGGAGGGGGGACGGGGAGGGGGGAGGGGAGGGGGGCGTCTGGGTGGGCAGGGGGACGGGGGGGACGGGGAGGGGGGCGTCTGGGCGGGCAGCGGGGACGGGGAGAGGGACGTCTGGGCGGGCAGGGGGGACGGGGAGAGGGACGTCTGGGCGGGCAGCGGGGCCCAGAGCCCGGCTCCTCGCCGTGGCCACGCCCCCGTGGGCGCCTCACCTGGATGACACCCCCGCCGGCGCCCCCCTTCTCGGCGAGGAAGGCGGCGGGCAGCTGCAGCATCTTCCCCAGCCAGTCCAGCATCACCGTCTCCAGCTCTGTGCACGCCGGGCTCGCCGCCTGCAGGGGACCCGCCCTCAGCGCCGGCCGCTCCCCCAGAGGCCGCGGGCGTGACGGCGCTGCTCCATGGGACTCGGCTCCACCCGCGCGGCTGGGGTCACCCGTCTGCCAGGGGTGTCGGGGAGCGTGCGCCTCCCGGGGTGGAGCTCCAGGGAGAAGCAGGGACCCCGAGTCTGCACTGGGGCTGGAGGGCCGCTTCCCAGGCCCGGCGCCAGGTCTGCCCGGAGGCCGCGTGTCTGTGCGCGAGGGTGCCCCCCCCTCTGCTCAGTCCTCCGGCCTGGCCTGGGCACAGCACACTCCTTGCAGAATGCCGAGCCCGGCAGCAGGGTGTCATGGCTAGCGAACCCGGGGTAACATCGTCCAACCCTAGGCGGCCGGGTAGCTCAGCGATTGAGTGTTGGCCTATGAACCAGGAGGTCACGGTCCGATTCCCGGTCATGGCATGTGCCCGGGGTGCAGGCTCCATCCCCAGTGGGGGGCGTGCAGGAGGCAGCCCATCCATGGTTCTCTCTCATCACTGATGTTTCTGTCTCTCTCTCTCTCCCTTCCTCTCTGAGATCAATAAAAACACATTTAGCAGAAACAGGTGTGGCTCAGTGGATAGAGCGTCAGCCTGCGGACTGAAAGGTCCCGGGTTTGATTCCGGTCAGGGGCATGGACCTTGGTAGCGGGCACATCCCCAGCAGAGGGTGTGCCAGAGGCAGCTGATCGATGTCTCTCTCTCATCGATGTTTCTAACCCTCTATCCCCCTCTCTTCCTCCCTGTAAAAAATCAATAAAATACATTTAAAAAAAATAAAAATAAATAAAAACAATAAAAACACATTTACAAACTGTCCCAGCCCAGGCCACCGAACGGGGTCCTTTGCCCAGACGCGAGGCAGGGTGGCCGGGGGGACGCAGCGCCGGGCAGTGGCCCTGCCGCAGGGCGCGGGCCCCGCGGGCTCGCCGTCAGCATCGTCTCCTGTGGAAGGCTCTAGAAAGGCTGGTCCCGCTGAGCTGCATGGCCGGAGAGGGAGCGGCGTGCGGAGGGCTGGGCGGGAACGCACGCTCCCAGGAAGGCCTGTCTCACCGGCTCCCGGTCCTCTCCCCACGAGGGCCCTCTGCCCGCGGCCCGCCCCCTCCACGGCCCCCGGCTCCGGCAGCACTCACCCAGGAGAACCCGATGCAGCCGATGGCCCCGCACAGCATGTCGGCGAGCATGGCCGGGTAGGAGCTGGCCGTGGGGAAGTAGGCGAAGAAGCGGGGGCTGTGCCAGTGGGTCACCTGCGGGCGGGCGGGCACTCAGCACAAGGAGCCCCGGAGCCAGGACCGGGCTCCCTGTGGGCACAGCCGGGTCATGGCCAACACCGGGGTGGGCGGTGCGGCCGGCATGTGCGTGTCAGGAGGCCGGTGGGTACGAAGCCTGTTTCCCGACACAGAGAAGGTCCAGGCAGGGGTACGTCCCCCTGCCCACGTACCCAAAGGCCTGGCGGTGCCCCGGCCGGCAGCTCAGTGGTTAGAGCGCTGGCCCTCGGACAAAAGGGTCTGGGGTTCGATTCCCGGGCAACGGCTTGTACCCTGGCTGCAGACTCTGTCCCCAGCCCGGTCACGGTGTGCGTGTGTGTGTGCGCGGGAAGCAGACCATCGCTGTCCCTCACATCGATGTTTCTCTCTCTCCCCCTCTCCCTACCCTCCGCCCTCCAACGGGAAAATACAGTGATGATAACAAAATACATTTGACAAGGCCTGCTGCTGGCCGGGCTGCCACCCACGCTCTCCGGCTCAGTCCCCTCCCTCCGGCCTGCGCCCTCGGACCCCGCCCCGCGGGTCCGGGCGGGACAGGTGAGATGCTGACGAGGCAGACCCCGGCCCGGGGAGGGGGGGGGGAGACGGGGTGCTCCTGCGCCCGCACGCCCGCCTCTAGAGCGCCCTCCGAGGAGGGGGTGCAGGCACGGCCGTTTGCCCCACACGGGGTGGTAGCTCTCCGGCGGAGCCCGGGAGACGGGCCCAATGGCCTGTCCTGCCGCTGCCCGGGGCCCCGGGGCCTCGGACCCAGCCTGGCGCCCTGGAGGGAGGCGCTGGCTTCTGGCCTGACATTCACGGAGCGCGCCTGCAGGCTGGCTGGGCTGGTGTTTGCTCAGCCGGCAGGCGGGGGCCAGCGCGGGGCCAGGCTCGGGGCGCAAATGTCAGGGACTCTCCCGGGAGTCGGGGGGCGGGGGGGCGCTGATCCGGGCTGTGAGGAACCGGGCTGCCCCCCCGCCCCCACTGCGGGCTCCGGGCCTGGCGCCCAGTCTGAGCGGCGCGTGGAGGGAGGACCAGGGGCTCCTCCCGTCGCTGTCCGGGACCTCCTCCACGGGGCAGAGGCTGACAGCGGGACCAGAGCCCCGGAGCTGCCAGCCCCTCGGGGCCCCGGCCTGCGAGCCCACGCCGGTCTCGGCCCCCGGGCACCCAGGACAGACCGTCCACCCCCGTTCCACAGAGACCGACACTCCACCGCTCTGCACGTGGCTGACCGCGCCGGGCAGGGAGCGCAGGCGTGTGCCCGTCCAACCAGCCCGGCCCGGCGCTCCCCGGCTCCGCAGGGGCGGCCGAGGCCCTGGCCCGGAGGGAGGCCCGTGCTGGGCTGCCCCCGCTCCCTCGCTGGCCGCGGTGCGGCCTCAGGCTGTCACCCCCTCCGGCTCCGGGTCTCGCCCCGACTGCAGGGACTGGGCGCCGTCCGGCGGGACGGCCGAGGCTCGGGGCCCACGCACCCCTGGCATGATGACCCGCTCCACGTCCCTCATGATGTCCTCATAGGCCTCTGGCTCCTGGGGGGCACAGCCGGGGATCAGGGGGCGCAGGTAGCCGGGCTCCACGTCGGGGTACACCTGGCGCGCCTCGATGCCCTCGAGGTAGTCGGCGATGTAGTCCACCATCTCGCGGCCACGCCGCCGGAACTCGCCGGCCTCCATGGCGCGGCCTCAGAGAACCTGGGGCGGGAGGAGGGGCGGTCAGTGGGCAGGGACACCTCCACGCGGAGCGGCCGCGTCCACGCCCGCTGACCGCTGGCCACCTGGGCCAGGTCCCCGCCAGGCACGCTTTTAAAAATTTTAATATATTATTTCTCTTTTAATATATTTTATTGACTTTTTACCGAGAGGAAGGGGAGGGATAGAGAGTTAGAGACATTGTTGAGAGAGAAGCGTCCACCAGCTGCCTCCTGAACACTCCCCACTGGGGATGTGCCCGCAACCCAGGTACATGCCTTTGACCAGAATCGAACCCGGGACCCTTCAGTCCCCAAGCCGACGCTCTATCCACCGAGCAGACCGGCTAGGGCTTTAAAAATAGCCTTATTGATCTCAGAGAGGAAGGGAGAAGGAGAGAGGGAGAAACACCAATATGAGAGAGAATCATGGATCCGCTGCCTCCTGCACGCCCCCTACTAGGCTTCGAGCCAGCAACCCGGGCCTGTGCCCTGACTGAGAATCGAACCCTGACTTCCTGGTTCGGAGGTTGGTGTTGAGCCACGGAGCCCCCGGCCGGCTCAGGCGCTTTACTCCCATGGGGACCGGGAAATGCCCGGAGCTGGAGCTGGGACGTGTCGCCTCCCTGCTCCCCGCTGGTCAGCCCCTCACCCTGAGTGCCACGCCTTCCCTGTCCCCCTCCCCGTCCACATCCACGTCGGTGGGACAGACACACCGCCTCCACGCCCACCCCGCCTTCAGGACAGCGCTGGCCGAGCTGGCCAGGATGGGCTACGCTCGTCGGGGAGACCTCGGTCTGGCCTTCGGTACGGCCGGGTCGGCAAGAGCTCATTGGCCCCCAGGGGCCCCGAGGGGGAGGCGCCCGACAGCCACCAGCTCAGGGCTGTGGGCCCCGTTTCCCGGACTCCTCGCCCCTGGCCCTTCAGCTCCCCCGCCCCCCTTCGCTGACCCCCGTGCATGCACTGGCGAGGCGGCCGCATTGCCGTCTACGCGGCTGAACAGGGTCCTGAGATGGAGCCAGGCTCTGGGTTTGGTGAAGCCTGTTTTGGCTTCAACATTTACCTCAGGCCCAGCCGGCCTGGCTCAGCGGTGAGCACTGACCTCGGCACCAGAGGTCAGGGTTCGATTCCCGGTCAGGGCACAGGCCCGGGGTGTGGGTCCTTCCCCAATGGGGAGCGCGCAGGAGGCAGCAGGTCCATGATTCTCTCTCATCATGGATGCCTCTCTCTCTCTCTCTCTCTCTCTCTCTCTCTCTCTCTCTCTCTTTCTCTCTCTTTACCTCAGGCCTGTGGACGTGCAGGAATGCAGGAGGCAGCTGCCCCGTCTCTCACCCCTGCCGCCTGGATCCTGTCTCACAGCTACCTGTCCGAGCTCTGATAAGTTCACAGCTCCCCCTCCACAGTCATCTGGAGTTCTTCCCTGACAGATGGCCTGCCCCCAGAGTGCCCCCCAGCCCTGCCCCCCGGAGTGCCCCCAGCCCTGCCCCCAGAGTGCCCCCAGCCCTGCCCCGGAGTGCCCCGCAGCCCTGCCCCGGAGTGCCCCCAGCCCTGCCCCCGGAGTGCCCCCAGCCCTGCCCCAGAGTGCCCCCAGCCCTGCCCCCGGAGGGCCCCCAGCCCTGCCCCGGAGTGCCCCCCAGCCCTGCCCCGGAGTGCCCCCAGCCCTGCCCCCGGAGTGCCCCCCAGCCCTGCCCCCGGAGTGCCCCCCAGCCCTGCCCCCAGAGTGCCCCCAGCCCTGCCCCCGGAGTGCCCCCCAGCCCTGCCTCCTCCGAGAACCGGGGCTCGCTCTGCCCCGGCGCTGCCCCCGGCCACGCAGCGGGGCTGCTGGGAGACAAGGCCCTCTCCCCGCCGCTCCTCACGTCTCACGGGAGGAAAAGGGCCTGAGGACTGAGGACCTGAACCCTGACCCGCTCACAGGCCAGAGCAAAGTGAGCCGCACAGCAGTGAGGACGCCTGCAGCCCAGCCGGGCTCGGAGGGCAGGGCTGGGGGGCACTCCGGGGGCAGGGCTGGGGGCACTCCGGGGGCAGGGCTGGGGGCACTCCGGGGCAGGGCTGGGGGCACTCCGGGGGCAGGGCTGGGGGGCACTCCGGGGGCAGGGCTGGGGGCACTCCGGGGCAGGGCTGGGGGGCACTCTGGGGCAGGGCTGGGGGCACTTCGGGGGCAGGGCTGGGGGCACTCCGGGGCAGGGCTGGGGGCACTCCGGGGCAGGGCTGGGGGCACTCCGGGGGCAGGGCTGGGGGCACTCTGGGGACAGGGCTGGGGGCACTTCGGGGGCAGGGCTGGGGAGCACTCTGGGGGCAGGGCTGGGGGGCACTCTGGGGGCAGGGCTGGGGGGCACTCCGGGGGCAGGGCTGGGGGCACTCCGGGGGCAGGGCTGGGGGCACTCCGGGGGCAGGGCTGGGGGCACTCCGGGGGCAGGGCTGGGGGCACTCCGGGGGCAGGGAATGGGGGCACTCCGGGGGCAGGGCTGGGGGCACTCCGGGGGCAGGGCTGGGGGCACTCCGGGGCAGGGCTGGGGGGCACTCCGGGGCAGGGCTGGGGGGCACTCCGGGGCAGGGCTGGGGGGCACTCCGGGGCAGGGCTGGGGGCACTCCGGGGGCAGGGCTGGGGGGCACTCCGGGGCAGGGCTGGGGGGCACTCCGGGGCAGGGCTGGGGGCACTTCGGGGGCAGGGCTGGGGGCACTCCGGGGGCAGGGCTGGGGGCACTCCGGGGGCAGGGCTGGGGGCACTCCGGGGCAGGGCTGGGGGCACTCCGGGGGCAGGGTTGGGGGGCACTCCGGGGCAGGGCTGGGGGGCACTCCGGGGCAGGGCTGGGGGCACTCCGGGGGCAGGGCTGGGGGCACTCCGGGGGCAGGGCTGGGGGCACTCGGGGGCAGGGCTGGGGGCACTCCGGGGCAGGGCTGGGGGCACTCCGGGGGCAGGGCTGGGGGCACTCCGGGGCAGGGCTGGGGGGCACTCCGGGGCAGGGCTGGGGGGCACTCCGGGGGGCAGGGCTGGGGGGCACTCTGGGGGCAGGGCTGGGGGCACTCCGGGGCAGGGCTGGGGGCACTCCGGGGGCAGGGCTGGGGGCACTCCGGGGCAGGGCTGGGGGCACTCCGGGGGCAGGGCGGGGGGCACTCCGGGGCAGGGCTGGGGGCACCCCGGGGCAGAGCGGCCCGAGCAAACAGACACACAGCCCCTGCCCCAGAGAGACCGCCCGGCGGGTGTGCAGGCCGGACTGGCTGCTCGGAGCCGCAGTGACCTCCTGGGGCCGCTGACCCCGGAGCGGCCGGTGCTCGCGGTGCCTCTGAGATGGCCGCCCACGCCGGCGGGTCCTGGCTGGCAGGTGTAGGCAGTGGCCAGGCCGTGAAACCGTGTCTGTGAACATGGCGGACGGCGTCACTGAGCTCCATGGCATTCCATGGGCAGCCCCTCCACACTGCCGGGCACAGCCGGCCCGGCGCGGTCTCCCGGCCCGGCGTCTCGTCACTCCGTGACGGGCTCCGTGCCAGCCCAACGCCGCCTACACGGGTGGCAGCGCTGGACCAGGACACGTAGGGATGAGCTGCAGCCTGGCCAGCCTGGCTCAGGAGGTCAGGGTCGATTCCTGGCCAGCCCGGTGCCTGGGTTGTGGGCTCAATGCCCAGTAGGGGGCGTGCAGGAGGCAGCCCCGGGCCAGGCTCCCGCCTGCTCTCCCGTTTGGTCTCCGTGATCTTGCTCATGAGCTTCCCTCTCCCCCTGCGGCCCATCAGGCACGAGGCCGAGGCTCGGAGACTGGGCACTCAGACCCGGGAGGTCAGGGCCTCGCCCGCCGCTCTGCCCGCTGCCGGGAGCCCCGAGGCGCTGGAGCGCGGCCAGCACGGCACGGCCAGCCGGTCCGGCCAGAGCCAGGCGGCAAACCTGGGAACACCGCAGGCCAGAAACTCCAAAACCAGTTTCCCCGGAGCCGCAGGCAGTCCGGCGCCTCCCTGCTGGACGGGACCCTGCTCCCACCCGGACGGCCGGCCTGGGCAGCGCCGTGTGGAGGCGTCCAGGCGGGCCCTGCCCCAGGCCTTCCCCGCCTATGCCAGCCAGTGAGACCAGGCACCCAGGGAGCTGCCCCCGGCTCCCACCTCCCGCCCTCCCTCCGTCCTCTCTCGGCTCCCGCACTCCGTGTGCGTCTGCCGCCAGGCACCGGGGGCCCTGCACAGGCCCACGCCCGCCCCGCACCCGCGCCCATGCCCACACCCATGCCCAGGCCCACGCCTGCCCCACACCCAGGCCCACGCCCACGCCCGCCCCGCACCCGCGCCCATGCCCACACCCGTGCCCAGGCCCACGCCTGCCCCACACCTAGGCCCACGCCCACGCCCGCTCCACACCCGCGCCCACGCCTGCGCCCAGGCCCACGCCCACACCCTCGCCTGCGCCACACCCGCGCCCAGGTCCACACCCACACCCACGCCCGCCCCCGCGCCCAGGCCCACGCCTGCACCATGCCCACACCCACGCCCGCCCCATGCCCGCGCAATGGCTCCTGCAGGGCAGGGTAGGAGCCCAGGCGCCTCCTGCGTCCGGCAGCCTACAGGCCGGCTCCTGCCCTCCCAGCTGCCTGGACAGAGCCGTGCGTGTCCGGCCCAGAGCCCAGGCTGAGCTCTCAGGCTGTCCCGCCCGGGAGGATGGAGCCTCTGGCCGCTGTCTCTCCTTCGGCTCCACAAACTCACAGCCTCGTCGGAGGCTGCGGCCACGGCCCCTGTGGGAGGCCGGTGGGTAGTGCGCGCCTCTCCACGCTCCCCTCACCCTCACGGCCCGTCGTGACAAATAGGCAGCCCAGGCCCGGCCGGGGCATGGGCCTGGGAACCGGGAGGACACAGACGCCCCACCATCAGGGCGGTGAGCACCCCACCCCGCCTGACACATGCGCATCGCCGCGCACACGTGCACACGTCTGATCTAGGGCAATTCGAACAAATTGCATCCTTTGGCGTGTTTGCTGTTGCAGCTCGTTCCCATGGAAACCGCCAGCGCAC